TAAACTATAACGATGCGTAGGAAAGATACACAACTTTAGTTTTCACTTTTCAATGGTAACTTTACATCTTAATATCATAGTCATTTTTTTAATTATTTTATTTTATTTAAAAAATAATCCTAACTTAAATTTATTTTCTAATAATTGAAACCTATCATCATAAATCAATTAGAATTCTTACTTTATGATTTTAAATAATTACTTTTATATCTTAATATTCTTTTTTTTTACTATTGGTTGTTGATCATTTATCTTCAATTTTAACTATTTTATATTTTAATTTTAATTTAAATAAAATATATAAAAATATGAAATATTTCAATTCCGCTGATATATATATATAAGTTAAAAACTATTTAAGATTTATATAATAAATTTAAATAAAATAAAGACTGAATAGGAACGCATTAATAGCCATTATACTTTTAAAAATATTAAATTATTAATATATTATGTTTTTATGAACCTCATTTCTGTGAATTCAATTGATTCGTATTTGGTAATTTAAGAAATAATTTGACATTATCTACCTGACAATCTTTTGTGTTATAAAAATATAATAATAATATAATATAATTGTAAAATAATATGTAATCAATATATAATAATTATATTTACTTAAAGATAAAAAAAATAATTATATTATTATATAAAAATAATGTATACATATAAATTGAATGATTTAAAATTAAATGATTGATTGGATTAAAATATATAATCAATAACAATGTATAACGGAGATATAAAATTTTAGATTGCACTTTTCAATAGTCAAATTTATGATTAATTTTTTTTTAATTATTCTATTTATTTAATTTAAAAATGACCTTAAATTAAATTTTAATTTTCATATTGTTGATATCCTATTGTCCTAAACCACCCACAATTCTTTATATATAATTTATGTCTTAACATTTTATTTTTATATTTTTAGTTAGTTATTATTTATTTCAATTATTTATATTTAAATAAAATATATAAAGACATAAAGTGTCACAATTCCACTAATAATTCCACTAATAATTATATAAAGATAATAATATACACATATAAATGGAATGTAATTAAATACCTGTTAATTGAATTAGATAATAATGTAATTTACGAACTAAAAAAGAAAAACAAAAAATCAACGGAATCTTTAGCAGGAAAAAAAATGAATATAGTGTTTTTTATGACTTATCTGTTTATGCAACATTACTTTTTTTTTTTTTTTTTAATGATAACTATAGTTTAATAGATAGTATTCAATTTAACATATAATAAACAATAAATAATAGATAAAAAAAATTCGTAAAGATGTTCACAATTATTATTTAAAAAATAATTCTAAAATTAATTCATAACTAGTCTATACCTTTATATTTATATTATATATAAAAGAGATATTTTTTTATTTCTACATTTTTAGACATTTATACTCTTTTTGTATATATATATATATTTTTTTTTTCTTATTATCATATGTTTTAAGAATAGAGTTGAAGAAAAAAATAAATTAATTAATTAATTATTCATTTTATTAATAATAATAATTTTATTTTGTAACAACTTTTGATCTTCAATTTTGTTTAAGATTATTTTTATTTTTATTATTTTTAAATGGACTTTAATAGTTGACATTAAAAAGACTTTGGAATACCCCAGGAGCAGGAGGGAAAAAAACCGACTCAAAATTGACCTATCAATTCTTACTCCTCCTTTTCACTTTTCACTCTCACTCAAACCTTAAGCATTCTATTCGACTAACAACATCTCAAGTTAACGTGTCTTGAACATTTCATATTTTATTTCCTTTTTCCCCGCTTGAGATGAGACCACCTTCTTCTTCTTCTTCCTTCAGCCAGGTAACGTAACCTCACAACAACATTTTCTCTGCCTTAATACAATCATCATTTTAGGATCGAAATTCATTAATCTTATTGTTCTTGTTATTTATTTATTTATTTATTTATTTTTATTGAATCATATGTGTAGAGTGTGTGTGTGTGTGCACTTCATATTCTTTCCCTTGATTTTGGTTGTTTTGAATTTTAGGGTTCTTTCTTTTAAGCTATCGCTCATATTTATGTAATTTGGCTTTTTCTTCTTCTCATGTGCAATGTGTTTTAATAGCCTATAATTTTTGACAATTTTGGTTTGGTTTGGTTTGTTTGTTTTTATTTAGTTATTTATTTTTATAATAATCTTGCAATGTAATTACATCACACAGCGTGATTATATTCCATGGACATTGTCTTCTGTTGCAGTTTGCGTTTCTGAGTCACACTGGTAGCATAATAGTAATCAGTGTTGGATCATGATATTTAAAAAATAAAATATTTATAGTAGGGCTTTTTACGCATATGAAAGTAACCAATATAACTATCTGTTGATATAGTTTGGTTCAATTTTGGTTTTAATTGAAGTTAAAAAATGGACGTGAAAATACTGTCTTGATTCAGTTTATTTTCTTTTTACTCAAGGATGTTAGCTTCCTATCCATTTTTTTTTTCCAGGGTTAGGTTTTTATTCTACGATGAGTAGACCAACAACTAGAGGTAAAAATAAAAGGCACAGACAGGGGGATGACACTTCTGAAATATGGAGGTACTACTAAGTGACGATCTTTGGTTTTTAGCTTATGAAATGTAATGAGATTGTTGTTACGCTTTGCTTGGTTATTGTGCAGGAAAATTTACAAAACGGGTGTGGTGACTGAAGATGATATGAACCAACTGTATATGATTTGGAAGCCGGTCTGTTCAGGCTGTCGTGTTAATACTAAAGACAACCCAAATTGCTTCTGTGCACTGGTTCCGCCACCAAATAGTACCCGGAAGTCTGGCTTATGGCAGAAGATGTCTGACTTTGTTGAAAGTCTTGGCCCTGACCCAAATATGTATCTTCGTGCATCTGCTAGTTCACCTGCAGGTCTGACAAATCTTGGTGCAACATGCTATGCCAACAGTATACTACAGTGCTTATACATGAATAAGTCTTTTCGAGAAGGCATATTTTCTTTAGAACGGGATGTTTTACAACATCAACCAGTGTTGGATCAACTGACTCGACTTTTTGTACAATTGCATGCTAGTAAAATGGCCTTCGTAGATTCTTCTCCATTTGTAAAAACTCTGGAGTTAGATAATGATGTTCAGCAGGATAGCCACGAGTTCCTGACATTGCTTATGTCGTTACTCGAGTGTTGCTTGAGCCATTCTCAAATTTCCAAGGCAAGAACAATAGTTCAAGATCTTTTCCGGGGAAGTGTGTCTCATGTGACAACGTAAGAACCATTGATTGTGGGTAACTCATTGAATTATATAAAATCATTTTTCCTACTAATTTATTTTATTTTGTGGGGATGACACTGTTGAAATATTATAGATTTCTCAAATATGTCAAAATTTCCCCTTTTATTTTTGATCCTTCCCTCCACACTCCTTAAAAGGCCCAATGAACAATTATCTTGGGAATGTTGTTAATGTTGCTAACATGTAAAATACAGTTGGTTGGTGGATGCTTTTGATTCCTCCTGCATATTTGATTTTGTTTCCTCTGAGAATGTGTGATATTACCAAATGACACTTTTGAGTATTGATTTTATGTACTAAATTGGCTGTAACATATTTAAGTATTGTTTTGTATTGATAATATAATTAATGGTACTGGTTGTTCTGAATCCTTTTCTCGTTGTTAGTCAAAAGCTAAGATGCATGGGCATTGATATGGACAGAGGGCATGCAGTAACACAGACACAGCAGCACAACAAAATTTGACGTTTGCATGTCTATCATATAGTGTCCTGTTGTGTTGTGTGTAATACAAAGTGTTTGGCATATTTCCAACACGGGCTTTTTTTTAAGTGTCTATGCTTCATAGGTCAGAAATGAATCTGGTATTTTATGATCAAATGATCCCAAATAAATTTCTTATATTTTCCACGTTCATATTAGATATGTATGTGACCAGTAGTAGTTGTGTTTATGACTGTTGCACATTTCTTAATTTTATCTTTGCTTTGCAGGTGTTCACAATGTGGAAGAGACTCTGAAGCTTCTTACAAACTGGAAGACTTCTATGGGTTAGAGTTGAATATCAAGGGGTTGAAAGGTTTAGATGAGAGCCTAGATGATTACCTTGCTATTGAAGAGCTTCATGGAGACAATCAATATTTTTGCCAGGCATGTAAAACAAGAGTTGATGCTACTCGCAGCATCAAGCTGTGTACATTACCTGATGTACTTAATTTTCAACTTAAACGTTATGTATTCCTCCCACAGGTATTGAGAAAACTTGAGTAATTAATTTATTATTGGGAGCATTATACAACTAAATGCTGTGTAGTTTTCATTGCTTACATATTCTTTATATTAATTATAGTTCTTTTTTTTTGGGTACAGGAGGTATTACTATTAGATTGAGAATGATAGGGAGCTAACAAAAAGAATAAATATCCCTTCAAAGAATTAAAAAAACTTGTATGGAAATTGGAAATTATCTATCTCTTTAAGCATCTACTACAGCGTGCTATGAAATCCTTGTAATGGAAGATCATTCTAGAAACTGTTGACGATTTTATCTTCTACAATTATGAAAACAAATTCTGGCCTTACAAAATTAGAGTTCCTTATAGTTCATATGCACTAGAGTCCTGAAAACTGCCTCATATTTGTCTGTACGTGTGTTCTCTCTATACATAACTTTCCCAATTATGACAAAGCCTCAAATCAAATACATGAAAAAATACCTCTGGTGTGAGTATCACCATTTATATAAATTATCTTGGTCTAGATACTTCATCAGAGAGCAATGCAAGAACTGTGATCTGTTTTTCACATGCAGGGTTATGAGAGCATTGCTTTCTTGTTTCTAACTATGCCTTTTGTATTTTTGGTGTGTTTTAGGAGGATATTTTGTTTTCCTTATTTTCAACTTTTATTAAAGTAAAAGAGAGAAATGGTTTTGAAGAAGAGATGCTTGATTTACTTTGCAAACCTGTATAGCATATATTTTGAAATTCTTGCTTTGGGTAGTGATTATGCAAGGGTAGTTTTCTGGAGATAGAAACTTTAATAGTTACATGTTTTTTCTTTCTTTGGGTATCTTCACGTAATAGTGGTTTTTTACACCAGTTTTTTTCCTCCCTGTAATTTTTTGTCTGCATCAAGCCTATGGAGTTTATCTTATTTTCTGCAATACTAAATTTCTTTCTGATTAATTTTTGTCTTTTATTTTCTATTTTCACCGTTAGAATACAACGAAGAAGAAAGTTATTTCTGCATTTTCGTTTCCTGCTTAACTTTATATGTGCCATATATTGTCCGAGTCATCTCAGTTTGAATTGAAATATGACTTGTCAGCTGTACTGATTCACAAAGGAACAGCTGTTAATAGTGGTCATTACATTGCCCACATCAAGGATGTAAACACTGGGCAGTGGTGGGAATTTGATGATGAGCATGTTACTAACTTGGGTTGTCATCCATTTGGGGAAGGAGCTTCATCTTCTAAATTTGTTAAGAAAGATGTACCTCATTCTAATTGCTCTGAAGCAATGGTAGCTGACAGTAATGGAAATGGTTTAAATGCCACTCATTTACAATCTTCGCTTGTGGAGACATTTTCATCTAGTGATGCATACATGTTGATGTACCATCTTAAGCATGGCAAAAAGGGGGGCATGGTTTATGGTGCTAACCTTAAAGAGGTAGAGGGCAATGCAGATACTGTACAAGACAGCGGTTGTCTTCCTTCTCATCTTGTTGAAGAGATTCGAAATTTCAACGCCTCCTATCTAGATTCCTGCAAGCAGTACAGGCATAGGAAAAAGTTAGAATTGAGTCATATTGATGAGAGGAGACAAGAAGTTCGATCTGTTTTAACTGAAGCTATTACACAACCTCTAGAGCAACCTTTTTTTTGGATTTGTAGTGACTGGCTTCGCCAGTGGGCTGACAACATTATTCCAACGTAAGTGCATACTTTCTATTGCATTTTTTACCATGAAAATATAAGGTTTTATTCCATTTATTTAATAATGCTGCCAAGTTTTCCTTCTGCCAATTATTGGGTGGGGTTGTTTCACTTAATCTATAGGTTACTTACTTCTTAATGTTAGTGCAGTGCTCTTGACAATACATCTATCCAATGTTCTCATGGGAAAGTTCCAGTGTCAAAGGTTACCTCAATGAAGCGGTTATCTTCTAAAGCATGGGATAAATTATTGTCTAAGGTAAGTTGTTATACATTTAGTACTTGATTCCTTTTTATATAAGTCTCCTCGTGTTATGATGCCATTCATTGATTTTTTAGCTACTTTAAAATCAATATGAAAAAGAATGGTAATGTAGCTTTAGAAAAATAAATTGGATTTTTTTTTTTCTATTTTACATATTGTTATAGTTAATACAAGTGGGAGAGACGATAAATTTTTTTATTAGAGGGAGCATAAGCAGAGAAAAACTAGCATCCCATAAGTGAGTAACTGAACAGATTTAGCAGGCCGTTCTCATCATGAAGCATGTTCATATGATGTGAGCAAGGAAACTATTGTCATAAGTGTGTCTGAAGGAGGACTAGAGGAGAAACATTTTGATAAATGATAATAGTCTTTATGAAGTAGGCTGTTATGGTGTTTGTTTGTTGATGTGAAGAATTGAATGCAGTTCACTTGTCTGAATGAATTGCAGTGTACTAAAATAACAGTAAGTGTAAGCTTCTATTGAGAGATTTAGAAACTGTTGATTTAGTTATGGACTTGTTTATTCATATATATATCCTCTTATTTTGCCATTGTTGTCAAAATTATGTCCTTGATGTTTTTCATTTATTGGCTTATATAATTCAGTATGGTGGGGGACCAACTTTTTCTCATGATGACTGCTGTTGGGATTGTCTGATCAATGGGGCTCAGAATGTGGTGTCAACTGACACCTATCGGGATCAAAGAGAATCATTGAAGCAACTTGCACGAGATATTCTTGATGGAAATTGTGAAGATGGAATGTACTATGTGTCTAGACCATGGTATGACTGCAAAAATTTTTTCCTGCAATTTCTGCTTATTTAGAAAGGGATAAGGGGCGGTGCAGATATGGCTAAGTGTTGGGTTTTCTGTTTCATTATGAAATAGTAGAATTTACCTAGCTTTGTATTAGGATTTGGGTAAACTTTTTCAAAAGTACTTCTAAGAGACTAAGAGAAAAACCGGAAGGAAAAATAAAATTAACTAATCCTTAAGCTAAAATTAGCTTATGTATAAGCTAATATTTAGAAGTTCTCTCCTATTAGCTTTTCCAAAATCTAATTTTTAACTCATATAAGCTAGTTTTAGTTTATGGATAAGCTTCTTATATTTATTTTTTCTGAAGAAACTTATCAAAACAGATCCATAGTTAGAGACATCTATCACCCATTCTGATCAGTTTTAATTTCTGTGTCTTGGCTGTTAGGATAGTTCAAAGTAACAATACTAAATCCTGTCATACCGATGATTTTAATTTTGTAGGTTGCAGCAATGGTGGAAAAGAAAAGTTGTTGATGCTCCATCTGAAGCTGATGCTGGACCAACAGCAGCCATTAGTTGTCCACATGGGCAACTTATGCCTGCGCAAGCTGTTGGTGCTAAGCGGTTGCTTGTTCCTGAGGGTTTCTGGCTTTTCTTATATAAAGATGCCATTTCTCTGAAACCTGATGATCCTCTAGGTTGTCTTACTTTTCCTTTAGACACCAGAGAATGTTCTAAATGCAGTGATGAATTATCTGAAGTGGCTTGCTTGGAGGACTCTTTGAGGTGATTTCTTTGTACATTTGTATTAATATAGGACTGATAGAGAAAATTTAAAATGAATTTTGTTTTCACGATGCAGATTAGTAAAACAAATGCAGCGCCAAAATCATGAGAAACTATTTGTTGGTAAAAGTATGACGCTTTCTCTACATTGCAAGTATTTCTTAGTTCCTTCTTCGTGGATTTCAAAATGGAGAAATTACATTAACTTAGCTGTCAAGGATTCAGATAAACCTGAAACTTTAGATGGGGTAATTGATTCACTGATATGTGAAAAGGTACATCCTGTTCATATGAATGTAATGTGCATGTCTCAGTTTAGTATACTTCTTACTAGCATTTTGTTAAATTTGAGTTTGACTTTTTTAGGTATGCAACTATTATGAGAGTATTTACTTGAAAGGTTATTCTATGTCATATATGTAACAAATTTTAGTTGTGGATTCAAACTCTTAAATTGTCACTGTGATTGGGTCTTCTTGTGTGTGACATCTCTGATCTGTCAAGTTTAGTCTTTAGCAATTTCATGATTTTATGATTGTTTCAGCACTCACGGCTTGTTGAAAGGCCTCCTGAACTGGTTTTTAGACGCGGTGCTATAATCTCGAGAGAATCTTCTGTAAGTTGGAAAAATAAAGGAATTTCTACAATATAGTGGTCAAGTGACATGTATGTAAGCCCTGGGGCGGAGCCAAAACTTTGTCTTGAGGGGGGCCAAGATTTTTTTAACAATTATATGTAAATACTCTAACATCATAAATAGTTTAATATCATTTATACATTTTTTTTATCTCTCTTTCTATCACATTATATATTAATTTTACATATATTTCTCTATTTTTCTTTTTCTAAGTGCAAACTAACATGATGATTTTCATCTGTTAACCTATAATATTTTTTATAAGTTTTATGGGGGCCAAAAAACTATTTTTAAAGTAATTTTGATACATTTTAAAAAAATGGGGGGAACATAACCCCTACAGGCCCCCCTTCCCTCCGCCCCTATGTGCGCACCTGCAGTTTTGTTGATGTTTTATTTGCTGAAACTAAATTCAGTAATTTTAGTATGCTTCACGTCTTTTTTTTTTCAACAGTATGTTCCTATTATCAATTTTCTTTCTCTTTCTTCATTTTTGCATATATAAATGCGTTTTTTAGTCTTTTCGCCTCTCAGTTTTATGATTTTTCACTTTCTGGATTCTAGGCAGGTAGCTTCACCATCATATCTGAAGATGATTGGAAATGCTTCTGTGAAGAATGGGGTGGTATTGAGACCAAAGGAATATCTGCAATAATTGAGAATATTAATTACTTAAAAAATTCTTTGACTGGATCCTGCAAAGAGATGCCAATATGTGAGGATCAGCTCAACACTTGGGCTAAAGTGAATAATGAAAATGGGAATGGACAATTTGTGATTAAGACTTGTCCCGAGGTAATCCAAAACTCTTCCATATTCTGTTGGATATGCTATTCCGGCCCTGACCCTGATTTTCTTGCACCTTGGTTTCTTAGTAGTTAACATTGTGCATGGTTTGTGGAAATATATATTTTTTCTTTTTCTTCTAATAATTACAAAAATACCACATTTTGTGCATTTTGTTTCTTATTTTAAAAATTTCTCAAGAAATGGTGGAAACAAGTTGCATATATTCGACAAATAATCCAATGTAGTATTTTCTGTTGATATATATGAATGGATGTTGTCTTTGATGTTTCTAGTTTTCCTGTTAGCTATTTTCAACATATGCATGGCACAATAACCCTTTGTTTTTTGGGTGTAGTGCATGTTTCTGAATGAAAGTAATCGCGTCTTGAAAAAACTACTTCCAAATGTGTTTATGTGACTTGACTGAAAATAAATTTATTCTTGAGTGAATAGTTTGATTTTATGTCACATTATCATTGTCCACTCCACTCCCATTTTTGCTCCCATATAACTAATTTAACCTACTTTATGTTGTTACTAAGAAATAGACACTTTTCTATTTAATATTTACTGGAACTATAATCTCCCCCTTCTCATTATGCAGGTTTGTGAAAGCTGCATTGGAGAAAAGCAAAGCTGTGAGTTAATGCAGAAGCTTATCTATTGCAATAAGGACATCAATGTAATTCTTGTCCGTGGAAAGGAGGTCCCCAAATCAATCTTGGAGGCTTCAAAGGGCTTTGTTGAAACAGACAGACGGGTCTCCAAACGTTCCCGAAAGACTAAAAATGGGAGTTCCATTAGTCTAAAAGTTTCTTCTTCAACATCAATTTACCAGCTGAAAATGATGATATGGGAATCCTTTGGGGTAAAGCCAAGTTTATGCATTAAGCTGAAGCTTCCAACATATTTGTATTGAGTTTTCTTTTTGTGTAAAAGCATTTCATATCAAATGGAATCGAAACTAACTTGGATGGCTATGCATAATTTAGGAATGATGATGGCCTGCTAAACTGAAAATAGAATGGGAGTTGCTTTTGTTTAGTATATATATTGCTGCAATCAATTTAATTCTTCATAATGTGTAACTTATTTTTTCTACATATGGTAATTGCCCTCTCAGGTTGTGAAAGAAAATCAGATACTACAAAAGGGTGATAGAACAATTGATGTTGATGATGAATGTACCAAGCTTGTGGATGTAAATATATTTGCTGGAGATCAGATTATTGTGAGGGACTCTAAGATCCATGAAAATCGAGATATTGCAGGTAAGCTATTTGATACTATACTTGGATATATTTTCCTTATATACACAGAAAGTTGTCATATTGGTATTTTGCAGATGAGCTTTGTGATGAGAAAATGGAAACACATCATACCGAGGCAGGGTTTCATGGAACACTTTTAACATCGAATGTTTCATCCCAGGTTGTTTAGGAAGCGCACTTTCAGTGGTATCATGTTTTTTAATATTTATTGGTCTACATATAAGTTCTATAGTGTGGACCTTACATAGCGTTGAACATAATGGCAAATTTTGGAATGTTTCTCTTTTTGTCTGGGTTTTGTGTGTGAAGGAATTAAAAGTGAAGGAATGCCAATTGCAGATTTAGAGACCCTATTTAGAGGGATTTGGAGCATTGGAAATCAAATATATGAATTACAAGCAGTGTATCAGTCTAAGCTAGTTAGCGAGCTTTCTTATAAGCACTTGCTGGAGAAGAAAAACATAATAGTTAATTTCCTCTATTAAAATTAAAATTAACTTATGCACGAATTTAAATCAAATTTTTAGATTAATTAAATGATCGGAACTTCCCAAAAACTGGTTTTAATTAATGGGATAAGTTTATCTTATTTTTTACAATTTTCTTAAATTAGTATTTCCAAAAACATTATCCAAATAGAACTTTAATTCAATATTAATATAATAATTTAATTGCCATGTATTTTCTTTCGAACGTATCTTTAAAACAACAAAGGAAGTATTTTCTAATATAAAAATTTCCCTCCTATTTTGAAGTAAAAAATTTAAAATCGACTTTAATATATTAAATACAAATTCTTGTGTTGTGTAATAATGTTTTTAAGTATTTTCTTTAATGAAAAAGTTTGTAGGAATTCTTTTATCTTTCTATTTAATTCAGATTTTATTATCATAATTATTAATGAAATGAATATCAATACTTTAAAATAAACTATCAATAAATAAAAAAATATTTTTTTTCTACAATATGAATTACAAATGTTAAATGTAATTTATATATCTAAATGTAACAATTATTTATACAAATAATTTATTATAATTTTTAATTATATATAATAAGTATACATGTGCATTTCACATTAAAATATTAATAAGTTTTGAAACTAAAATTGTTTGGCGGTTTTAGCTCAAGAGTTCCTATTAAACTTAATTGTGTTTCATTATCTCACATTGAGTTGTTCACAATGAAATTAAGATTCTCTATAGTTTTAAAATAATTGTGTAATCATATGACAGGTTACTACACTTAATATAGTACAACAATTGCGCAATCGAATACACAATCTACTAAATCAATCAATTTTGACTTTAAAACATAAAGTCTCTTATGGGATTACAATTAAACCTTGTACATATATACAAGTATACATCTAGTAAAACATAATGAAAACATAGAAATCTTTACACCAATTAAGTATCTCTAAAACAACTATTGTATCATAACAACACAACAAAATAAGGCCATCTCCAACATGATCATCACCAAGTGTGCCCTCCAATCATATCTTGCCCTATTTCAATATTAAGTATTATCATTGTAGTTCAATAACATGAAAAAATAAGGATAAAATTGTGAAAGAAAATGACATATGATATGATGTAAGAAATAAGCAACTTATAACAACATATACAACTAAGGCAACAAGTTAGCTTTTCAACTTAAAATCATAGCAATAACTTTAGTAATATTCACAACTTAGCAACAAAAATATGTTGATCAATTTAAAACCATGGAAGCAATATAAACAACTCAACCTCAAATTAGCTTTACAACTTTAAGGCATAACATCAAGGGGAACAACATTCCAATAATCAACTAAAAACAATTAAGCAACTGAACAACCGAATCAACTTCAACCACAACTGAGCAACATTAATCACAACTTTCAACAACTATCATAACTTACAACATATATAACATTCTCTACATAAATAACTTCAATCACAACTTAAATAACTTTAAACAACTAACGTGTTGTCACACATATCCACTTATGGAGATCTCCTACAATAAACGATGGAACTCTCTTGAAGAGGATTGATGTTCTTTAAGAAATCCACCTTCCAAGACCTTTGCTCCTTGAGGTTGAAGACTTGATGATGGCAGAAGCTACTTGAAGACACCTCCAATGGAGGAGAAGCAAGGTAAGAGGTTCGGTTTCTCTTGAAGGAGAGAAACTTGAGGAACCCAGCACAAAGGAGAAGTTCCTTTGTGAAGCTTCTATGAGAAGGAAGATTCTCCACGGTTTAGAGACTCTTGAGTTGAGAGAGAATTTCTAAATTCTATTTCTCAAATATGTCAAAAGTGAGAGCAAGAGTTGGAATTACAAATATATAGAAGGAGGTAGCTTAGGGAGCAAGCTAACCTTAACCATGGTTCACTAGGAACCATGGTTTGGTTGGCTTGACCGTCCAAGCTAGTTAAGAAGTTTGTGGAGCAAGCTTCTCACTTAGCTTGCTTGGGAAGCAAGTGATGGAACCAACTTCTCCATGAGAGCTAGTGGTTAATTTCTTCTCTTCTCCAAGGTTGATATGATGTGAAGGATGATCTCTTCAAGGGTATGGAAGTGGAGGATTTGGTGTTTGGGAAGGTGAAGGGTGGCGCACAAAATGAAGGAGAGAAATGGATGGTGTTTGGTGGTGTAGCTCCTTTAGGCTAGCTCACTTCACTTAGGATGATGAAGGCCAACCAAGGAAGACCCAAGCTCACTCAAGGAAGAGAGGAGAGGATAGGGGGCCATGCAGTTCCTAGGGGACTAAGGAAAGAATGAAGAGGCACTAGGCTCACTCAATAACATTAATTTCCAAAGTGGCTACAAGGTGGGTTACCTAGAGTACTTGTAGGGAGAGAAAAGCATCTAGGATTTCTTGGGAGCATTTGGCCGAAATTTTGGAGTCCAAATGCACCCTAAATGAACCCTAAATGCATCCCAAATGAAATGGCTCTCATCCCTCCTAAAAGACTAAAGTACCCTTAGGTAAAAAAAAGAAAGAAATGGACTTTTGACCTTAAAAATAAGGCTTAAGTCCTAAAATAAATCTTAAGACTAATTTTGCCCCATAATACAAAGGCTAAATAAAAATACAAAATAAAATCCTAATATCTAATGTACCCCAAAATACAAGGGCAAAATGGGAAAAGAAAGCAAAAAATTAAGGAGAGGGCTCAAATTCGACACACATGATGATCATGGCCTTTGGTGTGGTGTGTTCTTTATCTTCCTCTACTCTCCTAGCCATGGACCTTATGATAGGCCCTATATGATGATTCAAGGATGGTCCTCCATCATCCCCTCCTTCTTGAGAAGGATTTGACCTTAAATCTTTAAGCTCATCCATGCCATTGGTCCTTTCAAAGATGTGAGACTACAATTAGGGAAAGAAACTACTAAAAGTTTCCTACTCAATCCTGAAGTACATGATTTATTAGATGAATGAGAGTGCTAGGGGTATTGGGGAGGCCCAAAAAAGGCATCACCAACCATGAATATAAGCAAATTTTGAAAAATTGAATGGCCCCATGCAAGACATCCATCAAATCATCTAGTTTAGAGATTGGGTGCCTATATTTTTTTGTTGATGGCTTTCTAAAATTGGTGCATATCCTCCATTACCATCTTTCTTTGGCACCAAAAGAATGAGGATGGCACAAGGTTTAAGGTTCTCTTGAACCTAGCCCTTCCTTCTCTCCAAAGGAAAAACTCTTTTCTTTTATTTTGTTTTTATTTTTGTTTTTGCTTTTCTCCTCTTCGTCTTTCTTGGCTTTCAATTTGAGTTGGTCCTCATTCACTTGAGAGGGTGATAGAGGAAACCACACAAATTTCTTACCCAAGTGCTGGAAACTTATTTTATTTGTGAGGCCATCATGGATTGTTTTCTTGTCAAATTGCCATGGCCTCCTAAGCAAGACATGACTAGCCTCCAATGGTACTATGTCACAAAAAACATCTTCTTTATATTTGCCAATGGAGATTGGTATGCTTGCTTGTTGGCTAACTACAATACCTCTTTCCTCATTGATCCATTGTATTTTATAAGGTTCAGGATGAAGTTTTGTAGTTAAGGCTATCTTATTCATCCAAAAATGATGAGACCTAGCTAAATCATATCCTTGAAAAATTAGGAGCAAAACAAGTCAAATATGTAAAATTTTGCCTAGGCCCAATTCTGGCCCAATTACTAGTCACACCCTCAAGCATTGCTAAATGCCACCCCACTTCTACTACTGAAAAATAGAAAAAACGTATTCTTCAAGATTAGGTTAAATGGAGTAAAAGTCTCCAACTAACCTACCCTAGAAACAAGATACAATGATCTAAAAAATTAAATAAAGTGTCTCACAAATACAAAGGCAAAAATAAGCCTATACAAAGAAATTATGTACAAGTTATATACAATTAGAACTATGCCTTCTCTTTATGATAGAGTAGTCCCAATGAAGAGTACCTTGGGCTTAGAAATCCCACTAGTCTTCAAGTTGTCCAACTCTTCTTGTATGCTCTTGGCCATAGCTCTAGTGATTGGGCCCTTGGCCCATAGTCCATCAGCTTAATGGAAGTAATTGAAGAAGATGATGTTTGTTCTTCTTCAATCTCCACCTTCACGACCTTTCTCCTCTTGAGGTACATCAATGGCGGAATGAAGAAGAGTTTCACAAGCTTCAAAGCTTGTTGAAGCATCCAAGGTGGCTCGACCACTCCTTGCAAGCGAAGAAACTTGATGGAGCCAAGGCACAAAGGTGAAAACCTTTGTGAAGGATCGTAGGGAAAAGAGTCTCCACGGTTTCTAAGACTTTGAGAAGAGAGAATTCTAAGAGAAATTCTGATATCATTCAACCAAAGTGTGGGAGAATGTTAGAATTACAAATTTATAGAGGGAGGTAGCTTAAGGAGCAAGCTAACTTTAACCATGGTTCAAGTGAACCATGGTTTAGTTAGCTTGACCGTCCAAGCTAGTTTGAGTGGCTTATGGAGCAAGCTTCTCACTTAGCTTGCTTGGGAAGAAAGCTAAATAAGAAGCTTGTAGCACAAGCTTCTCAAGCTTTGAGGGAAGAAAAAGGAATCCGGCCAAGGCATGAACCAAGGCAAGCTAGTGGCCATTTAGGCTTATTTGCTCCAAATCGGTTTTTAGAAAATTTTTGATTTGGTTTAGTTAGCTTCATCCAAAAATGATGAGACCTAGCTAAATCATATCCTTGAAAAATTAGGAGCAAAACAAGTCAAATATGTAAAATTTTGCCTAGGCCCAATTCTGGCCCAATTACTAGTCACACCCTCAAGCATTGCTA